ACCCGTGTCCCCTGCATTGGCAGGCAGATTCTTAACCACTGCACCACCAGGGAAGTCCCTGAAATGTTTAGGTTTTATTGCCACTGGAATCACTACATAAAAGTATGGAATTAATCTATTTAAGCATGACTTTAATTTCAGTACTTTATTAATATCATTCATTTTCAATCCTTTATTCCCACAGATTTTATTTGTTCCATAAGTATATTTTTTGTTCCAAAGTTAATATAGTGACTAGGTTTAAAAAGGTACTTACACAAAAGCCCCTGTAAATTTGATTTTCCAAGGCATAAATAATGTTGATAACTCCCATAGGTCTAAAGAGGGAGCTATTGACTAAGAATGGCTGGAATATGTCAAATTGAATAAAGATATGTCTCACTTCACAAAGAAACCCTTGTACATATTACTAACTGAATTTGACACTATCGATACTTGGTTGAAAAAAGTAGGTTACTTTATGAAACAACTTCAGCACTATAAACTTGAAATACTGTTTTTTCACTGACATCATTTTCCTTGATTCAACAGCTGCTCATCCCTACTACTATAAAAAAAATTTCCACTTTTGACAAGTATTGTTTTAAAGGTTCTATAATAAAATATCATATATTGCCACATCTCTGTTATACATCTTCTTCACAATATTCCTAAGTGATGGTGTTGTCAGTATGGTTAACCTTTGAAAGTGAGAAACTTGGCCTTTGGAGGATCATGATTTTTAAAAAAATTAATCTATTTAATAACTTGGAATTGCAATGGATTATAATATCTAAAGCACAAACTTGGTACTAAAAAAGCATGGTTGAGTAATAACAATTTCTGAAACATCAGTTATCCACAGTATATGTATGTACGTTTTGAAACAGTGATGGTCAACTTCAGGTACTAGTTATTCCAACCTAGTGATTCATAAGTCTAAGTAACATCTCTGACATATCCTCATTACAGGATATAATCAAGGCCGTTTCTGCCACATACAATCCTGAATTCTAAAAAGCATTTGGAGAGCAATGCCAGGCACAGCACAGTTTGTATTTCTAAAACTCCATTCAAACGCTGTGTCAATAAATTTGAATGAATGTATGTGATGTTCCACTGAAGGCAACTAATTCGTGAGTCGACTGGCATCTACTTCTTTTCATCAGCAAAACTAAATATCTTGAGGAATCTTTCCTGGTGAATTGTCAATACTTCTGTGATGAGGACACTTTCATAAAATGACTATGACTGTGACGTATGACATGGGTCACAACTATTTCCCTCCTATCTGCTCTGGGAGATCTATGAGATGTGACTGGTGGTAAATGGAAAAAGGTTCAATCTAAAACACTGTTTCTTTCAAGTGTGATTTTGACAAAGCCTCAAAATCCTCTAAGACAGTCTGCTAAAATTTTAAGTTGGTCCCATACAGTTATTCAAATATTCTTCAAGAATAATTGATGAAAATATAATAAACGTACATTGACAGTAAAACTTGAGCAGCTAAACAAATATCCAAATTATAAGGAATTATTTTCACTGTTAAAAAAACACACATAAATTAGGCATATAGTACCCAAAGCAATCTACAGATTTAATGAGGTCCCTATCAAATTACCCATGACATTTTTCACAGAACTAGAACAAATAATCCTAAAATTTATATGGAACAATAAAAGCCCTATAATTGCCAAAGCAATCCTGAGGAAAAAGAACAAAGCAGGAGGCATAACCCTCCCAGACTTCAGACAATACTACAAAGCTACAGTAATCAAAACAACATGGTATTGGCACAAAAACAGACATACGGATCAATGGAACAGAATAACGAGCCCAGAAATAAATCCACACACCTATAGACAAATAATCTTCTACAAACAAGGTCCTACTGTGTAGCACAGGGAACTATATTCAGTATCCTGTGATAAACCATAATGGAAAGAATATGAAAAAGAATGTATATATATGTATAAATGAGTCACTTTGCTGTACAGCAGAAATTAACACAACACGTATATATGTCAATCCTAATCTCCCAATTCAGCCCACCCTCCCCTTCTCTCCCTGTATCCACCCATCCGTTCTCTACGTCTGCATCTCTATAAAAAGCAACCTCAAAAAAAAATTAGACACATACCTGAATACAAAAAGTAATAGATAAGTCCTATGTTAAATTTATAGATAGGTTTTAAATTTTAAATTTTTAAGAGGAAAGATAATTGAAAACGTATTTTTACAATGGGTAATATATGCTCTTAAACTCTGATGTTTTCAATGACAGAGAATACATACTGATTTAGCTCTTATCTAGATGCACTATAAAAATTTATTGAAAAGTCATTTTTTGGGTTGAATAGAAAATAACCTGACAATTACTCTTTTTCTTATATCAAGTTATAGATCATTAGCTCAAAGTCACATGGTTATCAGAAAGGAAAACAAAGGAGATTGTTTTGTATTTGAGATCAAAATTTGCCTGAGGGAGATAGGTACCCAGAGTTTAGTAGCACATGTCTAGATTGATTTCCCATAGATAAATTTATTCACTATAAAAGAGTGCAGTAACTTTAGTACCTAGGCCATCTGGGATTTGGAATCTGTAATCATTTAAAATATATACCACTTTTAGAACACCTATCAAATGTGAAGGCAACATTACTCTCTCTGCCAGCTTTAAGTTGTGTGTTTTATTATTTTTTTTTATAATTTACACTGGTGACTTAACATTAAGCCAGTTAAACTCTTTAACATCTCTCTGAATTGCAGCCTCAGTCTCTGAGTTCGTGGTTTAGGATATGAGTTGCAAGTTGGTCAAGAGATTTTCTCTATGTGATGCTAACTGTCCCCATGAGAATGATTTTATGACACTGACCTCTTTGCTCTCTGTAAGCAAGCTAACAGGTTTAGGTATTTTCTACAAACAATTTATGGAACAACATGAATTCTTTCTTACAAAAAATAACTATCAACATCTTTTTTGTTTTTTCTTATTTTTTACTTTACAAATTTCAAGCATATGGCATTATAACTTGACATTTGTATATATTAAGTGATCCCTACTACAAGCCTAGTTGCCATCCATCACCATACAGTTGACTCCCTTAACCCATTCCATGCACTCCCAACCCTCTTCTCCTTTGGTAACTACTAATCTGTTCTCTGTATCTATGAGTTTGCTTTTGCTTTATTTTGTTTGTTCATTTGTTTTGTTTTGTGTTAGATTCCCCATACGAGTGAAGTCATATGGTATATGTCTTTCTTCATCTGACTTATTTCATGTAGCATAATACCTTCAAGGTCCAACCATGTTGCTGCAGTTGGTAGGATTTCATTTTTCTTATGGCTCAGGAGTATTCCATGGTGTGTGTATATATGTATGTATATATATGTATGTATATTTATATATGTACATATATGCCACATCTTCTTTATCCACTCATCCACCAACAGACACTTAGGTTGTTTCCATATCTTGCTGTAATGGACATAGGGGTGTACATATCCTCTCAAATTCGTATTTTTGTGTTGTTTGGATAAATACCCAGAAGTGGAATAGCTGGGTCATATGGTAGGTCTACTCTTAATTTTTTGAGGAATCTCCAGCATCTCTTCTTGATGTTTCAATACACTTGTATGTACCATCAATCAACACAATGAGTGTGGCAAAATTGGTAATTACTATCTAATAACATTTTAAAGCTTGATATAGGTAGTAAACTCATTAGGTTACCATAAACAATTCAAAGGCAGGTAAAATAAATACTTAAATATATCAATTTAAGTGGAATTATGAGTTTTCCAATGTAATATTAGCTTTCTCACTGCAAACAGTTAGCACTAGGGATTAAGAAGAAATTAACATCATGGTAGGTCATAATCATAGGACCCCATGGTTTGAAAGTTTATTCCTAATATTCATCAATGCTAACATATTGCAAGTGTCTTCTTTAATACAAAGATGATAGCTACATAAAAAACCAGTAAGTCTCATTTTTAGAATTGCCAGTTTGATTCAAAATCGCTGATTAGTTCTGCTCGGAGGACGGGGTCATTATGAGCTATTAGAGAGCTCAGTTATTTGTAACAGACATTTTCAGGGTCAGAGTTAGTGAGTAAGAGCAATATTCCTGTACTATATAAAACAGCTGTTGCAGTTTGGAAGTTTATAGCGAAATAAAAATCTATCGAGGTACTTTTTTGCATTTATATTTTATTTGGACAACAGTCATCTCATTTTCTAAAAGGTAAAAGCTTCATTCAGATTATTCATTTATTCAACAAGCATTTATTCAGTGTCCAGCATGAAAGTGAGGGCTCAAAAATGAATAAAAGTTGTCTCCTCTCAAGGTGCTGCATTTCTGAATGAATTTATTTTTAGCTCACTCCACATTTTGAGAAAATGGGATTCCTATACCATTATTTAAAATTATTTAAAATCTAAAACAAATGCAACAATGTTACTAAAAAGAGATAACATTATTTTTGAATTACCCACATGCCTCTCAACCACTGGAAAATTCTAACATGAGCTCCATCCTCTACCTCAGTCCATCACAGCCTTTCTTTTTCTAAAAAATAAAATAATTTATTTATTTTGGTTGCTCTGGGTCTTTGTTGCGGCATGTGGGATCTTAAGTTGCAGCATGTGGACTTCGTAGTTGCGGCATGCATGTGGGATCTAGTTCCCCGACAAGGGATCGAACCTTGGCCTCCTGCATTGGGAGCGGGAGTCTTACCCACTGGACCACCAGGGAAGTCCCCACAGCCTTTCTTAATTAACATTTTTTGATATGGAGCTGGGAGTCCCATACATTTTTCAGATGTTATAAAGAGTTCAAAAGCCTCTAATAAGTTAAAATAATAACCTCTTAGGAACAGAAAACATAGATAAGGATTGATTTTTTTCCCCTTTCTTTTCTTTTTATAGTATCTATATGAGAAGATGGGTGTTATGTGAACCTAGTTGTGGTAATCATTTCATAGTCTATGTAAATCAAACCATTATGCTGTTTGCCTTAAATTTATACAGTGACACACGTTAATTATTTCTCAATAAAACTGGGAGAAAAACGGATTGCTTTTAATTTGGCATTTACTGTCAAAGATACTTTCAAAAAGTTACATAAAATATGTAGAAATACATCCCACTACAAAAAAGCATCTTAACAATGAATGGGAACTCACCCCAATTTTTATTTCCTCTTTAACAGAAACCACACAAGGAGTAGATGACATTTTATGCCAAATAATATATGCTAGAATCTTATTTTAATATATTATAAAAATAAATCTTTAATATTTTGCCCAAATATTGAAATCTTAATTTTTTTTCTGTATTCTTCACCTAAATCAATGGCCTTTTTTTCACCTGTTCCCTTTTTACTCTCTTCTCTTCTTTATAACTCATTTAAAGACCACAATGTTTAGTATCTATAAGTCTTGTAAAGGTATTTAGACAAAAGAAATAAAGTTCTGACTGGGAATAATAACAAATAAGTTGGTGTGTGTGTGTGTGTGTATGTGTATTTTCCTCTGGATGTTCCTCTAAATAAGGGTCCAGATTCTATAGATAATGGGAGTGGACAGGGTCATATTTGAGAATAAAAACCTTTTTGGGCCTCTGAGACCAAAATAGTATCATTTGAGTTTCCAGGAAAAATATGGAATCTAATATTTATTAAACACCTCCCATATGTCAAGCATTTTGTTAACCTTACTCTAAGTCCCATGTGCCCATATTCTTTATAAATTATCCTGTATTGTGAGAAGTAAACAAGAATTTTCACAACTGGAAAAGATGCATATCTTCTTTGCTCCTTTTCGGTTTAAGGCAAGGACAACTGACCAGCTAGTTTCTCTTGAGACCCCAATGATGAGTAGGGGCTGCTTAGGACACAATGATGAAAAGGATTCTGAGGTTGAGGCTGAGTTTTACAGGAGGAAGCTGACTGGTCATGTCTGTGTTCCTTGCAGGAACAGGAGATATGAGTGCATATTTACTGTTTCTGACTTAGATACTGCAAACAAAGCAGTGTATCTGTCTCTTACGCTTAATTCCATAAGGTTAAGTCCAATGAGCAGAATATATCTCACAGACTCTGCAAACTACATAAGAACATCTTCAGAAACATACAATTTGATGTTACTTTGTTGCCATGTGCCTATTCTTATCCATGTATTTAATAGTCTATTACA